TGTAGTAGCAATTTTGGCAAACCATGGGAAACTCCAGACATGGACTTGAGGAATACAAATGATTTATTAAAAACAGTGCTGTTTTGACTCAACAGATGGCTCGTGCCCTCATCTGCTAAGTGAATTGTATACCCTTCTTACAAGCGTATATACTAGTGATTACGTCACAAAGCATATATTTTCCTCTTGACATTTCTTGTAACTAAAAAGCAATATACAGGATATTTGCGGTTTCTGCTCTAAATTAGGACATTAGGACAGGCCCTTGTTACAGGAAATATGGGGGTAGAAGTTAGAGCTTAGCTAAACTCTGCAAACTAAAACCTTACAAATTTAAGGGGAACTCTGCATTAGCTGGGAGCTACCACATTGGTCCATATTAAATGGGAACTCTGCCATTACTGTCTCAGTACTGTACCATCAACTCATCAATTCCTGTACCCCACTCCCAGTGACATGTCTGACAACTGTTACCGGATACCGGAAACACATTTTTACTAACTACATGCTTGCTTTCTACCTTGACTTCCAGACTAGGTCCCTAGGCACTCTGTTGGTTCCAGTATGTGGGGAACCGGTTGCTAGTGAAGGGGTCAAGCGCAACTCCCCTTCACTACCAGAGTAACCATCACCCCTGCCAGGCATCCGTTTCCTGCCTTTAGCAAGAGATACTTCAGACCAGGCATTAAATGGAGCAAAAAAGGCTTTACTGAAATAGTACACCAGCCTACAGGAACAGTTCCTCAAAAGCAACTTCACGTATAGAGTTTTCTGTGGTCCATAAAGTGACTGTACCTTAGGCAGATGGCCGATTCATAAAGCAATCCTTTAATGCAATTAATTAATTAAAAAGGAGTTCCAGCCATTTTTATGTAAATCAGCAGCTACAAATACTGACTTTTAATAAAAACACACTTACCTGTCCAGCGATGTTCTCACCTGCGTGGTCCCTTCCACGGCACCAGCATTTCAACTGTGGGCATCAGGCTTATAGCTTGCGGCTTCACTGCCTGGTGCCCACTGCACATGCGCAAATCATAGAGCGCTTCCCAATTGGTCCAGCAAGTTCCCAGGAGACTGCAGAGGGAGGAAAGGACCGAACTTCTGGCTCACTTCACTATGGCGAACTGAGACGGAAGTGGGTGTGATGAGAGTCACTTTGGGTGGGGGGCCCATGGAACCCAGCTCACTTTGGAGAGGTGGGGAGACCCCTGTCTCAGCTCCCCATATCCCTCTTATGTGTAAATCACCCTGTGCCTGTTAGGGGTACAGGGTGATCTGTCCTAATATTGAGTGGGCTTTGTCTCAGACTGTGTAGACATGTTTAGGAGATAGGTGCAGTGTGGGTTGTTGATTGTTTAATGTTATGTGGCTGCATCCCATTGTTCTATTGTTTGTCTGGCTTGGGAGAAAACTATTATGGGATGTATGTGTTTATGTATATTAGCTTAGTGGAAGGGTGTCTCCAGCAGCCCTCCCTCCTGATTGGACTGTCTGCTTTGAATACCTGTGTGTCTCTTGTTACTAAATGTAGATTGCCTCACCCTGTTTTCATTATGCAGGATTGTCCCCTGAGTGTATATATCTTGTATCTATGTTCAAATAAAGTTGTCTGGTCTTGTATGGTCGACTGTGGTGTCTGTTGTCGGTGTTTGGACTGGGAAGGGGTATTCTAATGGTAGTACTCAAGCGCAGTCTAGGTCAGTTCCGTTACAGCAGGTACCTGTCAAAACCAGGTACCCGCTCCCCCCTCTTCCCCAAAACTTGCCAAATATGGTAGTGGAGGGGGGAGGAAGCAAATTAAGTGGAGCTTCCACTTTTGAGTGGAACTCTGGTTTAAGGAGTTATTTTAGGCAATAATTCCACAGAGGTCACAAGCAGTTCCTAAAATCCATGATCTGGCAGTTATCCATAAAGGCAATAAGTCTATGTCTGGTCCATAAGAGCTTTCAGCTTCCCGGCCCCATAGAGAAACCCAGATGCCGCCCCACTATATATACATATAGTGCCGTGCTGATGTACCTTGCCAGCATATCAAAAATAAACAATTATATCACAACTTATTTTTCACTACCATAGTGAAAAATACAATGAATGAAATAACCATAGTCATGTGCCTTCATCTGGTGCCTTCGGTCGGTAGAGGAATATAATAGAAAATAATAGAATAAATTAGAATTGAATAGAAAAGAATAGAATAAAACAGAATAAAATGTAAAATGATAGAATACAATAGAATAGAAAATAATAAAACAGAATAGAGTAGAAAAGAAAAAAAATAGAATAGAACAAAATAAAATAGGAAAAGACTAGAATAGAAAAAATAGGATAAAATAGAATAGATTTGAAAAGAATAGAATAAAATAGAATATAGCCATCTTCTGAAATTCGAATTGAATAGAATAGAACAAAACAAAGCATATAGCCATCTTCTAAAATTCTAATTAAAAAATTTGCATTTCAAATAGAATTGAGTATAAATAGAATATAGCCATCTTCCAAAATGTGAATTTCAAATCGATGTTAAAAATAATGAATATATGAAACGAATCTGAATATAAGAAACAAATTCTGAAAAGTAATCATGATGAATATGACGAAGTAAAATTAACTTAAACGAATCCTAAACAGATTTTTCTGCTATGCACATTTCTAAGAATTGATTTATCTCTTGATTGTATGTGTTTTTGAATACATTAGAGTATTTTGCTAGATTTTTTAACTGCAGCTTTGCATTGCATGTAATGGCTAAGTCTGTGATCTACAAGCATCCCCAGATGTATATTTTCCATGTGTATTTTTAGGACCAAAGTGCATGATTTTACTTTTCTCAATATTGAATAAAACCCTTTTGTTTTATAGTATTACACTCATTTACTGGAGGTCCTTATATTATATTTTTGGTATTTGTTGGATATAAAATTTGATACATACTGGTACTTGCACTATGTTAATATCCACAGTTACTTGCTATGATAAACTCCCTGGATAGGTAGAAAGTATTGGATGGAGGATTTGTTTTAAGGGGGATTTAAAAATGAGAAATAGTGGCTTGGCTATAACTGAGCTAATTTCCCTAAGGACTTGCAGTACACCTGGATTACTTCTGGATTTATTCACTTTACTTTTATCTACTCTACTTTGTCTCAGGTTTTCTGCCAGCCACAAACGTACCTTCAGTGAAGCAGTAGCAGTAGGTGGTTACTTTATCAGGCAAACAATGGTGTAAGGAGATGTTGATGGTGGGGTGTGCTCAAGGGAGGCAGGAGATTGCAATGGTGGCAGGAGGTGGTATTTATTTCAAGCTTGCAGTGGTGAAAGGAGAGGCTAAGGAATTTAAACAATATTTTTGATCCAGATTCCAAAAAAAAATTTAATCTGTAGCCCCTACAGCAGGGATTAGGTAGTTATCACTGGTCCAATATAAACTAATTTTCAAAAAGGTCTGCTTTGTGCAAGGATGATGAAGACTTGGTCAGCCACTCCAACCCCTCCTTTCTGGATAAGATCTAGCAGAGACACTGAAAGAATCTATACACTGGAAGAATTACAGTTTCCTGGTGAAGGAAGTACTTATCAAATTGACAGTTCCATAGCACCTTTCACAAGTTACAGTATAGTATGTTTTTTATATGGAAGGGAAATAAGTGGTGGGAAGTAGAGGTGGGGTACTGTAGATTTTAAGGAGGGCAGTAAGGAATTAGTATAAAGGGGAGGGTGAAGAATGAAGCCAATAATAAAAAAAAAGAAAGAAGGAGAATAAGGAGAGAAAAAAAAGGCAAACACAATTAAACAGAAACACAATAAAAAGAGCTCAAAGGACAAAAAGAAAATAAAAATAACTAAGAAAACCCCCAAACGCCAAGTCTAAAAAACTAAAAGCAAAATCCCCCCCTCCATTTTTTTAATACATTTAATAAAAAATAAAGTGTGTGCAAAAAAAGGGGGGGGGGAATCAGCAAAAGAACTTGTTCCTGGCACACATACACAAATGGTAGTCCTGAAAAAGACTGTTGGGTCAAATCTTAGTGAATACAGGTGGGCTTGCACTCCACTCTCCCTAGCCCCACAAACTTTATCAGTGTTCGTATACATCTGCATGTAGTACTGTTTGTGGCAGCACTGTGCTCTGTAGCCAAAAGCACTGCCAGATGCCCCTCACTCTCACCAAACTCAAACACACTGGCAAGGAACTGCTGGGAGAGCAGCCTTTTATAATGTGTATCCTACTCATCATCAATCACATCTTTACTAGTGTACAAACGTGATAAACAACTCAGTAAATCAATGGAATAAAGGAATAGAACACAACACAGAAAGTGAAGCTATATCTACAGGTACCCATGCAAATAAAATACTAATCATCTACCTCTACTCCCCCCCCTCACTACATTCTGCATCTACACTCTATCTAATATAATTAATTGTGAAAAATCTTAATTCAAAATCAAGCTTACAAAGCACGTCAGTTTAGTTAAAAAGCAAAACACTGGAGACAATAATAGCAGGATGCCATAGTGATTCTACCAAATTTTCAGCGTCATCTACCATTTCTATAGAAATCTTGATATTTTCTACCGTACAAGGCAACCAGCAGGTAGAACAATGGAGACAACAGTTTTCTGATATACTATATGCAAACTAAAAGAATTGATTTCATGTAAAACAACTGAAAGTAGTAAATTACATTCAAAACCAAGAAGATATAGAAATTACCATAGGTGTGAAAGACACCAATGTAAAGACATTACCCATGGTGCCAACATCCCAAATAGTATATACAAAGTGGGTCCCGCATACCCACACAAACATACTTTGTAAAAATCAAGAAGATATAGACATTTCAAGAATATATACAGTATGTATAGTTTATTTTTTTTTATTTTAGGTTTTAGGTCTCTTGAAACTCTACTAACATACAATTGATTTTTTTTATGTGTCAGTTTTTAGTTATATGTCTATGTCGGTTTTGGCAAAATACCTCTTCTGTTTCTTTCTAGTCAGAGCTAAAGTACCAAGAAAAAGGACCAGAAATCAACATTTCAGTAAATTAGACCAAAGGATGGGAACTGAAATGTATTTGGTAAGGTGATTCATCATGTGTTAAATGTTATTTTTGTGTGTAAATTTTAAAAAATAACTTATCAGGTGCTTTAGTTATCTTCCCAGCTATCCAGAGATGTTATATTTTGTGAAAGTTTCATATTATTAATTTCATATATTTAAAATTGGAACAGAAATTATACATTTAGTATCACTAATGGACTTTAATGCCAAGACAAATGAACCAAACCAAAGCACCTAGTTTCTCTGAGTAGGTAAAAGAAAAATAATTAATTACAAAAAAAACTTACTCTTCTTCTTAAGCAGGATAAAAAAAAAACCCTCATAATTTTGCCTTCAATTTAAAACTAACATTTATAAAAAAAAAAAAAAAAAAATTACCAAAGTAATGACTCCCAACTTACCAAGATATCCCAACTATACGAAAATGTACACATTACAGGAGCAGACAATGATGGAAGCTTTTATTTGTACTTAACTAATTATTTTTTTACCATCATCTACTGTGATGATGTTATACCAATAACAAAAATGTTATTGCATTAACATTATAATACTGTGCACCATTTTCCCTTTTAGCCATTGCAATTTACTTTATTACCAGGGGCGGACTGACCATTTGGAAACTCGGGCACTGCCCGAGGGCCCGGGGTCAGTAGGGGGCCCCATGAGATGCCCCTGGTACCTTTTTCATAGGCTTTTTTGAGTTTGGGCAAGGACACAGGGGCCCCATGATCCCCTATTGCCTGGGGGCCCCATGAGTTGTGAATCCGCCCCTGTTTATTACAATAACTTTTCCTTATATTGTGGTATTGAATGTTACTGTACAACCTATTTTCTGCACAGAAATCAACCAGCTTCTAACCTCAGCTTGTTCAATTAAGCTTTGGCAATAAAACCTGGAAGCTGGTTTCTATGCAGAAGTGAGCCTGATTTTGCACACTCCAGCTTTAGTAAATAAACCCCTATATCTGCATTTTATTGCAGTCTATGCCTTCACTAGGGAAATTCACTTTCAGTAATGGTCCTGGTCATCATTGCTTCAGGTACAGAAGGTGATGAGAAATTCAAATTACTCTGTTGTCACATTGACAAGAATACAAGAAAACTTTTACAAGAGGGGAATTATTTTTTTATTACAACTGAAGGGAGAATTATTTTTTGATTACAACTGTTTAAGGGAACTGTTTCACTCTGGAAAGATCTTCTTGACTTGCTGTGTTTCTGGAGCAGGAAATAAAAGGAAATGTCATCGATGTGATGAAGAAAATAAAAAAAAATCTGACAAGGGTCTTAACGATTCCTTACTTACTCTGACCAAAACCAAGTCAAGATTTTGCTTTTGTATACACTTTACTATATGAAAAAAAAGAACAGTAAAACTGCTGTACAACATTGCATATACAGTACTATATTCTTTTGTACCTACTTTTGTTGCCTGTTGCTCTTACTTTTCTTCTCTAGCCTCAAATAGCATGTTATTCTGCCTTTGTTTTTTCTTCATTAACTATACTTATCTGATTCAGCAAGTTACAAATACAGTACACCCAATATCTGACAGCTTAGTTGCTTTTCGAACGTTTGTTCCACTTGACTTGAAATAAACATTACCCCTTTTTACATGGACATTTCATGTGTTCATTTTGCTTGTGTGTGTGTATACTGTATACAGTATATCTTCTATAGTGAGAGTATATATATATATATATATATATATATATATATATATATAAAAGAAATGGTAATTTCTTAACAGCTTGAGTGTGCTAAATGCTCAAAGCAAAATTCACCTGGTACTGAGGTGGAAAGGTGTCTGCATGCAGTGTTGTCAGAACTGTAGGGCATCTCCCTGTTCACCAATCCTATGGATAGCATGGCCTCTTAGGAACAGGGTTCTTGCACAGGAGGCTTTTTGGTTGTTCACAAAGAAGTGTGGAGATACCACATGACAGCAAGCAGAGTTGACTGGCTGAAGATAGTGACTGTCCCAATGCACAGAATCTGATGTGATTCCAGTGTGGCGATTGACATTACAGCTATGCTGAACTGGTATGCAGAACCCCCCTCCCCCCCCACCAACAGTGGTAGCCAGGAAGAGAAGGAAGAGAACGGCAGTACCCCTATTCTCAGCTAGGAATCCCAGGCCAAGAGAGCGTGGCAGTCCCTTGCTGTAGAATATATATGCTTTCCCAGTGTCCCTCTGGTTTTTGTAGTCCTATTGGCACTCAGGAACACAGCATGTACTTGCTATAGGACTACAGGCAGGATTCTCAGCTGTACAAGAACTGTAGCCACTTTGCTAACAGGAAGTGATGTAGCAGTCCCAGTACTGGGCACTAGGGGGAAAAAGGATTAATTGTAGTCCCATTTGCAAGTGTCCTTAGCTGGCATAATATATCGTTATATAGCCTACACCTGGCTACATCCTCCCCCTGCTTGAACTCTTTGGTCCCCAAAGATGTAGTAGAAACTAATGTAGTACTAATTACTCAATACACAATAAGACATTTGATCATTAACTGTAAACAAGAAATCAACAAGGATTAATTGTAGTCCCATCTGTAAGTATCAATGACAGAACGATAGAGCTGGCACCTAGCATATATATATATATATATATATATATATTCACACACTGTATCTATTTTTATGTTTATTTATATTTATGTAATAACTATATTTATGTTTTTGTGTTTTGTGTTTTTTTCAGTTTGATCCAAGGATAAAGGGCCAGAAATTCACAGGGGAAAATTCCTAATGCATATTTATGCATTTTTCTTTACAAACTTAAATGTTTATTGGAAAGAACTTACTGGATAATATACATTACTTATATTACAATTAATATTACAAAGTTTGTTATTATGCTATTTTGTTGAATTTTCCAATAAAGCAGAATTATTTCTCCCTCAAATAAATAGTAGTCTTTTTATTATGTTTGTGTAATACCTTTTTGTGTCATGCAAGTACAGTCTTCTCACTATAAAGAAAACCTATTACTGCTCTGTGATGTCACCAATGACCAGCTTAGATGGCTGAAGATTTTAGGCTGCCCTCTCTATCTTCTGTGACCTTACTATGGACTCACTATTGTGGAGGAAACGCTTTCTAGTCAATTGTAAAGATGCAGGAAACTGTTCACTACTTTCATCACAGAGTTGCACAATACTGCAAAAAACTGAAGATGTGCATCGATGACAATAAAACTTTATAGACCCTCATGCAGCATATCTCTGCCTAGGAACCACCCCACTCTGATGCCTTTTGCCCTAATGGTCTTAATCATAGGTATATGAGTGGTTTGGGGTAGCTTCTTTAAAACAAAAACACCACAAGAGAATTCCATGGTATTCTTGAAGGGACCTCTCACAAAAAATCCTACCCAAAATCTTACTATACCAGTTTGAAAAGAAGGACATTATCCAGTACAATCCTTCACAAGAAATGCTAGAATCTTCATTGATTAATGCAATAAATAATTTGCGCTAGTAAATGTATATAAATATATAAAAAATATAAAAATCATCAAATCATAAGTCCAAAAAAATATATATGCCAATACCACAAAAAAAGTGCAAAAAAACTTTTAAAGTGCAAAAAACTTTTGTGCAAAAAAATGTCTAAATATGAAAAATTTCACCAAAAAAACCTTGATAATATGATGGCAGATCATCCATAGATATATTTTCAGAAACGAAACTCTGCAACACACCAAACCTCATAGATCAAATAACAGGATGAAAGAAACTTTGCAATTAATCGGAAATCCACTTCTCCAGAAGAAAGAGACCACCTTCAATCGTATCCATGGGGGGAAATGCCAGACACTCGAGAGAAACAGAAAGAAACAGTGTGTTGCAGAGTTTCGTTTCTGAAAATATATCTATGGATGATCTGCCATCATATTATCAAGGTTTTTTTGGTGAAATTTTTCATATTTAGACATTTTTTTGCACAAAAGTTTTTTGCACTTTAAAAGTTTTTTTTTGCACTTTTTTTGTGGTATTGGCATATATATTTTTTTGGACTTATGATTTGATGATTTTTATATTTTTTATATATTTATATACATTTTTACTAGCGCAAATTATTTATTGCATTAATTGTTACACTTTATATATGGTGATTTTTTTGCAGCTGGTACACTATAAGTAAGTTATATAATTTTGACCATAGGCGCTATTATTAATTTTTTCTTAATCTTCATTGATTGATTCATTGATTAAAAAAATCAATCCAATCATTGCAGGATCTTAGGTTTTGGCTTCACTTCATATTGATTCTGCATTTACTTTGAGGTAAAAATCTATTATGCAATCATTTTTTACCAGTCTTTGGATAAAGTGCCCTGTATGTCCACATTTCACTTTAAGGATTCCCTTTTTGGATCTATTTATTCAGGTATTAATATTATCATTATCATTTTTATCTAATTATTATTAGAAGTATTTTTGGATCAGCTCTGGTTAGAACCGACCCAGGTAGGAGAATATGTAGTTGTATATTGTAAGTGCAAGCATGAAAAGGGAAGTCATCAATATTGATAGAGTTGGCAGATTATTTGTATGCTAATTCCAGGCTAACTGTAATGAGAAAAACGTTAATTGGCCAAACGGCCAATTGTTTACTGTCATAGGTAAGGAGGATCTTAAACACTGTAGCTGGCCTAACTTGTTGCTTTCAATAAGATGCAAGTAAAGCCTTTTCATGTTATGATCAAAAGTGTTTGGTCAGCCAATCAAATACTGCTCCAGCTTTACTTGCTGTATATGAAGGAAGTTTTAACTGTTAAGAAAAGGATCATGATCTGGGAGTTAGTATGAAAGCACAGGTCTAGAATATAGTATGCATCATTGCATACATGAAAGCCAATCTAGATCTGTAAGCTCGAAAGAGTAGGGCCCTCTTACCCCTCGTACGTTGTTTGTTATTGTTGTACTGTGCCATGTATTGTCCCCCCCTCTATTGTACAGCGCTGAGCAAACCCTTT